TCAAGCAATACACACTAAATAGGAGCAATCAACTGATGGCCATTCAATCAACAGCAACAAATACGTAGTTGAACTAGTAGAGAAATCTAACGACTCAATTATATAAAAATATAACAAGAATTTATCCTACAAAAGGTTCCATCAAAACCCTAGTTAACAAATTAGCTATTCATAGTCATGCTAACAATCATGATATTAATTGAAAGCATTAAAATACAAATTAAGGAATAACAGAAGAGAAAACTCTTGTGATTCGTTGCTTCCAAGTGTTCCCCTAGCCTTTTTGTCTCTCCAATAGTGTCTTACCCCTAAGAAATAGGTTTAGAACCCTTTTTATACATGTTGGGGGCGTGTAGGGTCGAAACTACCAAGTCCTAGCCAAATTAGGATGAAATCCGTCCTTTGTCGTCTCGCTTGGCGCCAACCTGGACACTGAAATTTTTCCACTTATGTGCTCTTCTGCCCTTGGTATTTTGGTTGGTGCCCGGCGCGAACCTGGGCACTAAAGTCATACTCCCTCCAAATTCTTGTGTTTTTACTTCACTTTGCATGCAAGCTTGCCAAATCACTTAAAATTGACTCCTACACATATAAACACCATTATAAAGCTCGAGTCACAAATATTCACACCAAAGTTAACAAGATCGAGGTATAATGCAAGGCAAATTACATGCAAAAACATAAATTTTTAGCCTAACATCACAAACTCACAATTCAAAAGCACAAATTCAAAAATATTAAGAACCAAGAAACCTACAACAACAACAAAAAGTAATCCAAAGGTACTACAAAGGCATTTCTCTTGACATATAACAAAAAGGTGAAAACTAATTATCTAGTCAAGTCGGTATTTCAGTTCCCCTGATTTTAGCTTGCAAGCATTTCCGGGTGTTAGTGCCCATTTTAATGTTTCCAAGTGCACCGAATTATAGTGAAAGAATTGATTTCGACGCCGGACGAGTATTTTTCGGATGCTGAAATTCCGAGTCCGACCATGAAAGTACTAGCGTAGATTCTGTAAAGTGACCTTCATTCTCTGTTGAGTTTCACAGATTATTGTATGGAAGAGGGGTCAAAATTGGAGATATAACAATTGAAAATAGAAAAAGAATGACTCAAAAAAGTTTTTTAAAAAATAAAAAGGCTGGACATGTGGCATTTAGATAATGGTTCAGAGTTCAGACTCAAAAAATTTGTATTCACTCGCCTCATTTATGTATAAAACACGCCAGCTGTCAAAAATGGCGTGTCTTAACTACACTTTGGAAGAGTTGAGTGTGTAAGATGATTCTCATCGACAAAAATTGAGTAACAGGGATTTGGTCCGTAATTCAGGGGGAACTTATGTATTTTGCCATTTATTTATCATAATATTGTCACGACCCAAACTGGAGGGTCATGACTAGCACCCGGGTTGTACTTGCCGAGCACCAGCGTACATTTTATCTAACCTTCCTTATTATTTTTAAGGGGCGACGAGATCAATATAAATGGTAGACATGAATTATGAACAACCAACAATGAAAGATAATGGCATGAACACACATAACATGGGACGACAAGACTGTAAAGAAACTATATATAAGGTACGAGCTGTCACGCTGCCATGAAAGACTATACAACAAAAGTTAGATGACAAGGCTTTCCAAACTATACATGAGTCGACACCTGTCTACGAGCCTCTAAAGGAATATAAGTGCTGCAACATTGCCGGAACAAGGTCCTGACATACCCATAATGTCTATAACAAAAGTGCATACCAAGATCACGGCAAGTCTGGAGAAGGGATCTCGCGAATAACCGCTGAAACTGGACAGTCTACGGTGGTGGGGGAGCTTCGCCTACCTGTATAACAGGACCAGCAGCACGACATGCAGCGTCCATAAGGATGTCAGTATGAATAAAGTACCGAGTATGTAAGGCAGGAATGCAAAAATAAGAACAATAATGTAAACAGGGATGGATAATATACAATCTGTAATATTTGAGTACCTCTGGGGGCTATTGACATGAAATATATATATATATATATATATATATATATATATATATACACACACGCACGCACACACATACGAACTTTTAAAACATACGCCACGGTGGGCATCATCATCATCATATCGTACCCGGCCGTAATAGGCTCGGTAAAAACGTACCCGACCATCATAAGGCTCGATAGAATCGTACCAGGCCACGTGGAGTTCGGTAAAATCCAACTGATAAATGGTTGCACAATAAGTTTCAGTACCCGGCCGATTATATAACGTGGCTCGGTAGAGTAAAATAGATACATATATATAATACATCTTGGACTCATTGGAATCATATTCTGAAACTTTCGGAGTGACGTAAGGTCGATATCCTTCATACACGTTATTAGGACTAACTCTTCATCATGAATCTTATAAGAATTAGGAAGTACCAACAACAACATAAGAATAAGAGAAGCAACATCAACATCAATTGTTCCATAAGAAAGGAAGCAATGTAAGTACTGCTAACTTCTAAGAGTGGAATTTCTTTGGAAGCTCGTTCATTATATTATATACAATTGGATTCGTGCAAAAGAGAAAAGGGATAGACCCACATACCTTGTATGTACTTCACAACCTCAAGCTATGCAAATATCACGACTCCTTAGTCTACAATAAGATAAATGACATTATTGTTATCGTTTAAGCGTCGTAACTATTATGTATTGATCGCAACCTATTTACGATGAAACGGACAGCACCTCCCCTATTTATATGACTTCCCACAAGTTAAAAAAATCACCAAACAACATCAATAATAATCATATTGAACCTCCCAAAACAGTCACCAACCAACAACATTACTAACAAGCCTTTCGATAGATATCTCACAACTTCTAGCTTCAACGACTTAGCCGTAACTTGGATAATCTTAAATACATGTAGAGTAAGAGGTGCCTTACCTTTAAAAAGAAAGAACAACTCCAATTTGACCTTAATTGACCACGGAATATCCCTTTAATGCTGCCACAAGAACAAGGAAGCGAAACTAGCAATCAATTAGAGTTTTTCGGCACTATAATCACTTTAGAACTTGAAATCACCTGGGGTTGATATTAAAAACTTGAGGGAGTATTTTATTTAACATAAACCACTTAAAGAAACCTACCACACGAGCTGAAAAAACACAAAAATCAGCAACAACAAGAAGAACAAGAAAATTACTAGCGCCACGGTATTCTTAACACTTGATTTGTGTTGTTTGCCCTTTGAGAGAGTGTTTTTAGGGTTCTAAGGTCTGAATATACTGAAAAAGAATGACTTAAAACAGGGTTGAGGTGTCTTATATATATCCATATGTCTCAACCGCCTATGTGGGCCCCATAGAGAGCTGCTTGGCACGGTCTCGTGAAAACGCTAATATCTCTCTACTCCGAGATCGTATCGATGAACGGTTTAATGCGTTGGAAACTGGACTCATGGATATTCAATTTGGTGGGTAGATCACCCCGTAATTCCAAGTAAATTGGGAGAAAAGCTTAGTAACATTTGACCTAAAGTTTAAGTAAAAATTGTGAACGTAATTTGCGATAACTTTTGTCGACTTTTGTTTCATAACTCGTTTGACTTCAAGACTTATGATACGGATATTCTATTATTCAAATACCTTAAAACAAGATCTCTTGGGAATATCAAGCACCTCTAGTTTTACCCGAAAATACGGGTTACAACATCCTTGATTCGTTTAACTTCTAATACTTGTTAACCACTCTTATACACCCTTGTATCGTTTAAGACCAATAGGATTAACTTCTTATCATCTCAAAGATAATCTCTTCTCGGATTTACGTCGACTAACTTACGGCGTGAACTGACATACGCGAATATGGATTGTAACAAATATTGTGCAACAAGATATACTAATTTATCAATTAGTAGTCTCATATTTTGAAAACTTTTGTTTGAGCAATAAACTCTCACAAAATATATTTGAACGCATTTTGTATAGCTGATTTGAGTGGGATTGAACAGTAACTATTGCAGTTATGTATTGTGGGACTAGATTAGAAATCTTATTTAAATTATAAGTTGTACGGATTAGAAGATTAAGGTAGTCTAAGTGTCATGCTAATAAATAGTTGTTAAAATATATTTTTTATTTCGTATTATTATCAGATACTGAATATGTTTTTCAACTTCCACAATTAGATGATTAGTTATTATGTATAAATGTTAATGTCAAAAATGCATTTGAAGGGCAAAAAGGTTTCGACTTTAGTTAGAGTCTTCACAATTCTATATTAGTAATAAAACAATAAGAATAATAATGATAATAATAATAATAATAATAATTACAATAATAATAATAGATAATGGTTAGATTGATTAAAAGAAGTATACCTATTTCTGTATCGGTTCGGTAAGAGCGAAGAAAAAGAAGATATTTTGTTAATAGGAAAAAAAGTGTATATAATTTTCTTTCTCATATTTTGTTCAAAAGAACTTTATTTCAAATGTTGTCCAAACAATTTAAATTTTTTGTAGCTAGCAGCATAGTGTATATATCAATGTTACATTCATGTGGAACTATGTACACTACAATTTACTCTACAACATAACCTCACACCATTGAAAATAAATGTGAATGCTATAAAGGTAATTTTCATGCTTCAAATACATAATTTTTATTACATCATCTATTTTACATGAATAAAGTTACATAATTCATTAATTCGGTAGTCCTTCAATTCATCACACGTAAAAAGTGCAAAATAGAGTAGTCGTTAGATTAGCAGCGTGGAAGTTGGAACCATCCTAGAAATAGGCAGTTGCACCATCTATATATTAATTATATACCATTACACATATATTATACATCAGCCAACTATTTTTAATTTAAGCGGCGAGTACGCGGCTATTTAGCTTAATTCTTCTAAAATTAAATTAGTAACTAGTTTAATAATTATAACTTCATTTGAGTTAATGTGTTCTAATTGCAAACATTTCCTCTTCTACATTTCTTTTTCCCATTTCGTCCAAAAAACCAAATAAATAAATAAAGCAAAAGAAGAAGAAGAAGAGAAACGAAAAAATGGAGCCAAAATTGAGGTATATATATTTTCTATCAAAAACCTATGCCTATGAGAGAATATTTTATGAGAGTATTTTTTTTCTCACGTCTGGAATTTGAACTCTAATCTAAAAGAATTTCACTCATTTCGTCACCAAAACAAATAACTAAACAAAGGTTTTAAATCTCTTTCTTTCCTAGGGTTTCATTTTCTTCAATATCCGACACAAGTTTGATAATGAAGCGTTTCTTCAAACATTTCAGTGTAAGTGATCTGTAATAGCAACTTTTTCAAAGTTCTCATTTTTTCTAAACCCAGAAATTGATAGTTTGATATAATTTTTATTTTTTATTTTTTTGCAGATTGGAGGGGTGAGGGAATTTTCTATGCAAAATGCTAGAAATCCCGATACCCAAAAAAGCCTAAAGATTGAAGGGATTAAAGATATAATAGCAGTTGCTTCTGGTAAAGGTGGAGTTGGCAAGTCCACTACCGCTGGTACTACTACTTCTATTCTCTCTGTTGGGTTTTCTAAAATATAGAATAGTTTAATTGGGATTAAACTGTAGTTGATTGATTGATAATTTAGTTGAATTATGCCTTCCTTTTCTTTTTGCTGGTAGTATACTTAGTATTGTGATGCCAAAAGTTGCTAATTGAACTAGACCAATTCAGCTCATGATAGCATAAACTTTGAAATATTGAACTGAAAATTGGAAGAGGAAAAAGAAGTAATGAGCTAAAGTTTTACTTTTTTGGTAACGTTGGGGTCCGGGAAGCTTGCACGCACCTCTAACAATTTGAGCTAATTGAAAATAAAAAAATAGATTTTTGTGTATCATATTGCATTCGAACTGGGTGCTTGAGATATTTGATGGTGGAAGAGTAGAATCATCCTTCTCTATCTTCTCAAGGTAGGGTGAGGTCTGCGTACATACTATCCTCCCTCGGCCCCACTCGCGGGATTACACCGGGTTTTTTGTTGTTGTTGTTGGAAGAGTAGAATCATTCTTTTCTTTCTTATGGTTCTTGATACTCAATTTACTAGGAGTAATAATTTTGTGCATTAAATAAAGTTCCAGATATACAATGTACCGTGAATTTGGATTAGTATATTTAGCTTTGGGTGATGATTTTAATTTGCTTCCCAGCAATTTGTTTGCTGACCAATGACGATGTTTGGTTTGCAGTTAATTTGGCTGTTTCACTTGCCAAAAGGTGTCAACTTAAAGTTGGGTTGCTGGACGCGGATATATATGGGCCTTCAATTCCTTTGATGATGAGACTCCAGGGAAAGCCGGAACTGAGCAATGGTGATGCTTTAAGTGCCTTAATTTTTTTAACTGCTGAGCAGTTCTTCAGCTTATTTTAGTATCAACATGCCCTATCCTCTAAGATAGTAGTGTTATTATTGCTTTATTTTTTGTACTTCTTTCGACTCTTACTTGCTTATCATGTTATTTGGGCAGATAGGAAGATGATTCCAATTGAAAGCTATGGAGTTAAGTGTATATCGATTGGATCTCTTGTAGACGAAAGGGAAGCAATTGTGTGGAGAGGGCCTATGGTATGCTTCTGCCTACAAAATAATGACTAATATAAGGATGTAGCACATTTACGGTTAAAGAGAACTAAGATTTTAATGCTTGATGAGACATTCTGAGGAGGTAGAATTCAATCATCTAAATCCATTTAGACCCAAATGTAAACTTGTAGGTAATGAAAGCCCTTGAACAGTTGACAAGGGGAGTTGATTGGGGTATCCTAGATGTTCTTGTGATAGATATGCCTCCTGGTACGGGTGATACACAGATATCTATTTCCCAGAGGCTACAATTATCAGGTATCTCAAAATTGTTTGGAAGTACTTACTTTTAAAAGAATTTGGACTATGGAAATATGCCATGAATGAAGCTATTGCATCATGTTTAATTTCGTGTCAAAAAGCCCAAAACATAAACTTACTGCGTACTGATGAAAAGAAAAACGAAGATATCCATATCTTCAGGCACACAAGTAAATATCATTCATTATGTTAAATGACTGATGGTCTAATCAGAACGCCGCTGCTATTTCACAACCACTTAGATTCCAAATGTTGAGTCTGGCAATTGAGGATTTGCATCTCGGGTTGGGCTTTCGATCGGATTGAGTGAAATTTAGGCTCGTATAATGCATTATCATATGGGTTCTAATAAGATTGAGTTTAACAATTTATACAACGAAGGTCAGATTTACGATTTACTTCTATTTTCTTGTTTGAGTAAATTCCAGCTGCATATCTGTTTGAAAGTTAGCATCAATATCGTCCAATTTGAGAATATTTACTAGAAGCACGAAGCTATAATTTAGAATATTCAGTTGTCTATTCTTAGACACCCGTGCTCTCCGGACAATATTTGCTTAAAATCTCAAGTCGTTATAGGATAACAGCGCTGTGTTCTCGAATTACTTCTGTTCTCAGGCACTCTCTCCAGGATTAATTATGGTGAGAATTTATGTAATACTATTTTTCTGCACGATATCATTCTAAGCACTTGACTATGCTGGCAGGAGGGTTGATTGTTTCGACTCCTCAAGATGTTGCTTTAGTGGATGCTCGCAGAGGGGTTAAAATGTTCTCCAAAGTTAATGTTCCGGTATGATCTTTACTGAGCTTGTTGTTTATGAGCCTATTCTTAGTAGAAGTACTACCTTTTTTAAAGGTCTGAGTTTAACATTCTATACTCTCCCATACAAAAAAAAGGAGAGTAGGAATGTAGGATTAAAAGATATATCCGTCATAAATAGTGAGTTAGTGATTGAATATCCATCAACCCAATAATGCAAAAAACAACGAACATTTCAACTTGGAAATTATTTTCTTAATTTGTAAAATCACTACCTTTGTGTTTGATATTAGGATCTACTGGCATATATACTATTAGTGCTTTACACTCCTCTTCATCTTGGTGATGACGAATCTATTCATAGAGATTTAAAAAAATGTTACCTTTATCTAGTTGATGAATGACTCCCTCTAGATCAGATGAATGTTCAATTTTGTCAGAAGTCAAAATCTTCATTATTTTCTCGCTTCATGGAATAATACCCCCCCCCCCCCCCCCGATCTGCGCATGCATACAGACATATGTAGACTGGAATTTTGTTAAGACTGCAGGGATTTACAATTTTCATCTGTTTGGAGCTCCACCTTCGCCATGGTCAAAGAGAACACCTAAGTGAATTTTGTTGTATGTCAAGACTGATACCATGAACCTACCACAAGACTCCCCTTCCACACAAGGGGGAAAAATTGGATAACAGAAAGGAATCTAATAAAAAACCGAGCACAATCATTTAGGATGTTGATAATCTGTTAGACTACCATTAGTAGTTGAAGCTGGATTCAGAAAATTCCATTTCCTTAATTCTTGTTACCAACTTGACATAGCAGTACAAAAGTATCAGAATACGGTACATTGAGATATCATGCAGAAGCATACTATAGCTTCGTTCTTCTATGATATAGTTATAACTAAACAGTTTTACTTACCACAGATATTGGGAATTTTGGAGAATATGAGCTACTTTAAGTGCCCAAAATGCAATGAAGCATCCTATATATTTGGTCAAGGAGGAGCTCGTAAAACAGCTGAGGAGATGGGTCTGAAATTTCTTGGTGAGGTATGTCACCATTTCTCCTTTGAATACACACTCATGGCCATTACTATTAGGTTCCCCCCCCCCCCCCCCCCAAAAAAAAAAAAACCAAAATTCTTGTACACGTCTCTATTTGAATTATGCCCAAAAAAACATGCTGTAGGCACGCACTTCTAGAAAAAATTTCAATTAAATGGTCCTATAAATTTCCTCTGTTTCTTCTGAGTTCCGTCTTTTGTGGCTATTTCTTTCCTGTTGACACAATCTTTATGCATTTTATTGAGATACAACTAGATAGTTGACAACTTTTTTCCAACGTACAATTTTTTTTTTTTGTGTGTGTGTGTATATATTGTTTTAGTATTTGTGCTTTTCCCTTGTGTAGATACCACTTGAGGTAGAGATCAGAAGTGGTTCGGATGAAGGTGTTCCCATTGTTATGTCAAAGCCTGATTCTGTAATCTCTCAAGTATATGGCGAGGTGGCTGAAAAAGTTGTCATACGGCTTGAAGAGGTAGATAAGGAGCAAAATTTCAGGCCAGATATATCTCTTTAAATAAGTTGATCAAGCTACCGGCCAAGTTGAGTGTAACAGTAATCATTAGAATCTGCCCCCTTCTAACAAAATCAGAGGAAATTCCAGTTGGCTCCAGATATAGAGCACGAGTGAAAGCACATTTAAGGCTAAGAAGAGTTCAAGGGAGTTCATTGTTGAGAAAAGTGGTATTGCTTGCTGGCGATCTTATGGACTATTTTTTCTGGCCAAACAGCGGGGTTGTCACTCGACAATTAACACTAACTGAAAGTCGCCAGGAATGACGATGTATCCCTTTTGAGAGTTGAACCCATCTATACAACATGGAAAGATGATGCTTACAGATGATGAACATAACTGTTAATCGACGTTATTAGCCTTTGTCATCATTCTGGGAGAAAAAAGAGAGAAGATCAGAGATTTTTCCTGTATTGGATTTTTCAGCTTTTATTTTCACATATTGGATGTGCTCGTATTTGTTAGTTGGAATGGATGGTTCAATTCTGTGTTGGTTTTAGTGTGGGGAACTTCACTCCTTTTTAGTCAAACGATAAGAGTACATCATATAATGATGACTTACAAAGCTGATTTATGAAAGTGATGAATAATTCACATCTAAATAATAACAATATATACTTGTTAGCTAAATTGGGAAACTAGACATTGTTATTTTATAAGAAGAAAAATATTTTCCCATATAAATTTTAACTTTAATTTATTTCCCATATAACAATGTTAAATTAATTTGTTGCACTTCGCGTGGCTTCTGTTCTGTGGTGAGTTGTTTTGAACTGATTGAAGATGCAGTTAACAATGCAGGTTTTAGTAAAGGATGCACTTCATATCTAGGCTTCTGGAAGAAGGAAAAAAAAACATCACTTTGAGCATTTGAGAAGCAGACCATAATGCTTAGGTAGTTTTTGGTACATCCATGATGTTCATGATATATAAAGGACTGGTAAGGAAACATATGATTAAGCATTCATGTTTATTTTGGTAAATGCCCAAAAAGTGACGCAAAAATAGCAAAATCAGCTAACAGATATTCGGATAAGAATCCTTGGTAATTTTGACTCTTTGAATCTTGAAGACGTTAAGCTTTTGCGTCATTCAAGAAACAAGTGATCATTTACCATTTTTCTTGTCAAAACCGAGCATAGAGCGAAGACACGAGCAAAACCAAAGAGCATTCAAGAATCAAGATATACATTCAGCATTCATCAATTCTCTGACAAGGATCAAGCCTGTGAAATCTAACTTGCAAACCACAAAATAATTGCCAGAGAAGCGCCTGCAAATAGTTTTTAATTTAATTTCACTAGTTATATTGGTCAAACAGTGAAATTAAATAGGACAAAAAGGTTGCTAGAAGGCAAACCAGCAATTCATTTCTCAACTAGACTAGAAATCATGATACAGCTAACTAAAGCTAAAATTTCCCAGTAGCTGAAGACTCGTAGCTCTTGTAATAGCAGGCATGACTTGTTTGAGCTGGATATATCCTTTAATAACCGTAGCTGCCTCCATAAACCGAACCATAATCTGCAGCTGGCGCCTGGCCAGCATGACCAGTGGCACTAGACTGTGAAGGGTACACAGGAACCTGAGAAGGATAAGGATTATAACCTTGGGAAGGTGGTCCAGCAGCATTCTGCATTGAGTTGGTAGCGTCGGCGATGGAATTCTGCACCATAAGGAATTAAGGTCGTCAGAATAATATGCATCTAGACATCTCAGTATAACCACAGCATTTCAATAATAATTTAACCTTTTGTCTCCTTAATTGTTTTCATAACTTGATAGTGCATTGCAAACAAGATCACACTCTCCTTAGACCACAAACAGAATATTATAGTGAAAGCCACGTTCCCACTAATTACAGCTGAATCTCATTAACGGGTGGACACTAATATCAAAATAAATATGCTCAATTATTTAACTGCTGCTCAGAGTCCACATTGAACATTGTGTTATGAATCGGCCGAACATTTTAGGCAGGAATATTTAACTAAATAATGTTCATAAAAAAATAAGAAAGTTGTTGGTGTTTGTCATATCCTGTTTCATTTTTTTGAGAACGGAAACATGAAATTGTTTAATACTAGAAAAGTGGAAATAGGGAAGGGTACACCAACTATATCAGTCCACTTACCACATGCCTCCATGAAGGAAAGCAGAATTAGTGTGGCAGAAGCAAACCTCTTTTCTGCAAGGGCTTTGGGTCTAGTTGTCAGAGCACGACGTGTGATGTGTGGGTTAAGCACGTGTCACAGGTTATCATGTCGTAGACACAAAAGCCTGATATTTATGTGGAGAATGTTAAAGGGCCGAGCGCATTATCCACTGAGTTTCCAATATTGTGCCACTTAGCATCGGGGATTTCTCGGTTATTAACCCAAAAGCAAAAAAGAAAAAGAAAAAAAGCAAACGCATAGAAGATGCAAAATTCCAGTGTAGATACATCTAAGTTATATATCAAGGAGCAAACTGCACCCAATGGTATTTGCACTAATCAACCACATCAAACATGCCAGCTTTTCCATGCCGAGAAGGAACTTTCTACCTTACAGAGGAATACGCATCAGTGTATCCGTGTTAATCAAAAATTTCTTCAAATGAACACATCGAGAGCATATCTACATCTGTAGCATAGGGCCAGAAATCGCCGAACTACTAGACTCAATGAAAGAGCAAGCAGAAATGCAGTAACCAATTTGTTAATCACTACCACACATCCACACAGAATCACAAGAACATTGGCTAATTCTAAATGTCAATTGAAGCTCAATAATAAAAATGATCAGAAAATAATACCTGAATTAATTGCTGTGCTGTTTGGACTTGTGATGCAGAACCATTTATCTCAACAGTCATCTCACCAGGAACACCCCTTGTTTCCTGCACTGCAATAGTTGCACCACTTGTCCGACGAATATAACTAATATTCGAACCAGAAGCCCCAATAACAGCATCAGCATATGACAAAGGAATTTGGATGTTTTGTGTGACCTTTAAGGAGAAAAAGTTTAAAAAACAAGGAGCAGAAGAACTCGTTATTGGAGGAATGTACAAAATGAACCAAAAGAAACACAAATCGTTATAATCAACAAAAGATACTACTAAAGGGTGCCAGATTCTAATCAGATGCAACATATCTAAGCTGATATACATGCTAATCTTAGGTAGCATATTTTGTGCAATTCAATATCAGCGCCAGAATCCTCCTTCCCTATTGTACTGAGTTCATCGGATTTGTCAATCAGAATTTTCTATTCAACAGATTAAAGGAGGAGAAAGTGCACCTTTGAAACTATGGATTGTTGTGGTTGCACATTTGCATGAGATCCCACTGAAGCATCTCTGCCGTAAAGGGCGCCCGGATGAGGTTGCATATCTAGAGGCCTGTCCACTCGTGGAAAATAATTGTCAAATTGCCGTGGTGGCGGCATATACTGGGGGTTGGCTCCAAATCCAGGTCCCCCAGCACTCATGGGAAAACTGGATGGAGGTGGACCCCAAGGTTCGGTAGGCCCAGGCGGGGGCATATGCTGGTGTGCACGAGCATTTGGCATTTGCATCTGAGCAGAAGAAATATGAAATGATTCTCTAATGAAATGTCGCATAAGATCTTAAATTCTTTATAACCAATAGTATACTTACAAGTTTCTCAAATACTCCAATTACACTGCGATCAACTAAAAATTTCCTCAGATGAGTTGCAATCATTTCAACTGCTTTATGCACGCCTGCTGGCTCCCCTTGTATCTCAACGATACTATCATCAGGCAGGGCAAAAATGGGGAGATGCTCTGAACAAAAGATGTAATCAAACACCAAATTAAAGTTCCATGAGGACAGAATGGATTGCATAGATCAAAATAAAGACAATAAGAACTTCAAAAAAGCACACGACACACGTTACCATTTTCAAGTCACAAAGCAGCAAAATATTCAGCTTGTGAGCTTTTGGAAAGTCCAAAGTGGGTCTTTCATTGATTGTTATATGTTTCAAAAAAAAATCATAACTTGAAAAGGAAACTAAACCAAGTGAGGACCCCGAATTAATTAGTTACACTTCCTTCCAGAGTGCTTGCTTTCCTTGAGAGATAATACAATATATCTAGAGGGAGATACACACACTGTCTTTTCCTTTTCTGGAAGGGGCAAACATGGAGAGGAATTTCGATATCTAAAAGTTTCCGCTCTTATTTGGGTGATATGGGATGGAGGAGGTGTCCTACTACAGAGAGTTACAATATGATGACTGGTTTTCAAGATACAAATGTGTGGATCATTTTGAATCGAGTTAATACCCTAAAACTCCCCTAAACTATCACGTTTTTTTCAGTTTCATGCTTAAACTTGTGTCCCCCAAAACCCCCTAAACTATATTCTCCTTCATATTAACACACCCTCGTTATATTTCTGATTGTGTGTGTGCTACACGCTCCAAATTATCAAAAATATTTGCCATGTGGCAATCCACGTGTCGGGTTAATTAGCCTAATCTAAAAATTGACTTAATTAGTTATTTTAAATAATAATCAAGTATTATTAGAGGGATAAATATTCACCCAATTAGAAACAAAAATGAAAGGTAGGATAAAAAAATTTCTGTCAATACTCCTTTTCTCTCCTCTCTTTTGGTGATGGATACTACACCTCTCCGTAGCGATTTTTTCCATTAAGCTTCGTTGTAACCTTGATTTCCCCCAATAACTCTCGATTGCTCAGTCTTATTTTGTTTTTGTTCAAGATTGGAGATTAAAAACTAGGGTTTGCTGAAAAATCTAGGGTTTATTGGAGTTCTGACTGAGTGAAGATTATTGGTAAAACTTCGAGTTGATTTGAAGAAGATAGCTATGCACACCTACTAAATCTTTAAAAACTAACTTCTTTGTTGCAAAATTATTGTCTAAAATTGTTGGGTAACTTCAAGTCAATTTTACCAGAAAAATTAAATCTTTTTGTGAGTTGTTTAATGAGTGTTTCTTCTTACAAATAAATTCGGGTAATAAATGAAAGAAGAATAAAATGAGAAAGAAAAAAAAAAGATCTAGTAATAACAAGAGGGGAAATTTTAGATGGCACCAGATGGAGAAATGAAGAAGAATGGAGAAAAAAAAATGGGGGGAAATGGTGAAAAAAAGAGGAAGAAAGTGAATAAATGAGGAAGAAATGTTTAATTAGCCGTTACATGCTATTAGGTGGGGGACCTTTGGATTGATTTTTCAGTCATCAAGCGCGCAAAAGTAAGTTATTACACACGGTTTGCCAGAAATATAACGAGGATGTTTCAATATGAAGGAAAATATAATTTATGGGGGTATTGGGGATACCAGATAGTTTAAGCAGGAAACTGACAAAAACGTGATAGTTTAGGGGATTTTATGATATTAACTCTTTTGATTTAGTGATGGATTTATATGCTAAATGACCATAGCGGCATTTTTTTTATAAGTATGACCATACCAGCGATTGAAAAAGAGAACTGCCAGGAAAGTCAGTAAAAGCCCCATAGATCATCAAATTTGAGTACATGTAGCCCCGTAAACTTGAACCTGGCAAATTAATAAAGATGTAAAACTGTTCAAGTATACAAAACGCCTATACTTTGCGTCAGAGATATTGTCAAACTTTATGCCTTCTGTGTTGGACACCCCAATCCAGAAATCATAATCTTCCGTATCAGAGCTCATCCACATTTAAAGAACTGATAAATCAATATGCCTTCCATTATAATCTCCAACAAAGTATATTTAAGTATCGGATAAAGTCACTCTTCGGTTTTTGTAAATTGCTACTGGAAATTGTTGCTCCCTGATTATTATTATTTGATGCTACTCTTTCTTCCTTTTACCGGAAATTGTTGTTTCCTGATCTCCTCTTTTTACTTATCGTCTTTTGTCTCCTTCATCTGTCTTCTCCCCCCCCCCCCCCGAGGGTCTATCGAAAACAGCCTCTCTACCTCTCCAGGTAGGGGTACGGTCTGCATACACATTACCCTCCCCAGACCCCACTTGTCCACTTGTGGGATTATAGTGTGTATGTTGTTGTTGTTGTTTGTATAAAGTCACTCAATGATAGCAGATTAAAAGGCCAAACAGTAGCAAATACTAACTAAAGCCCTTTGATCCACTGTACCCATCAGCTCCACATTTTAAAATAGATTCAAACTTCAAAGTATCATATAACAAAAAGGTAGTCTGCGCAAGAATTTCTATGAAGTCCTCCTAGGAGCCAAGGTATAAATTGAATCCAAAAGCACTATTGTATTTAACAAATATAGATGGTTGGAAGCCTAACCTAAACAAAATTCTTTAGCAAAATCCAAATATAGGACATATGGACAGCTAAAGTTAGTTCTCAATGATACCACTATAGCGAGTTACAGAAACATAATTTCATATGTCGAGCAGTTTTGAAGAAGGGTATATGGTAAAGGAGTTTTAACCGAGAAATGCGCTCATGAATAGACAGTCATTTCAGCATTTTGTAATATCAGAAATGGTTGGAGAAAAGCTGTCGAATCCATATGCCTTATTCCCATATCAACATGTTTACTAAGCATACAGAGTTTATCTGCAAACCTTTGATGAAGTACACAGCAATCTATTAGTAAAGCAGCACATGCATAATCTAGGGAAAAGCATGAATATGTCCAAACTTGGACATTTCACTTCTAGAGTGCTAAGAGTCTATAACCAATCCCTTTCTCATTCTTGACCCTATTTACCCATATTGCACTGCCCTTCTAGCTTCATAACGTAACATATCTATGGCCTAGCCAGCCTTTTTGGGCTTTGCCCACCACATCATTACAAGAATAAGACTAAGATGAAACCCCATGCTTATGCTATATCAAGAACTTGTTTGGTGGCAATGCAATGCTATACAGATTTTACAGCATTACAGGGTTGTTTAGGACTGCAAGCAACAGAAGATCTATGACTTCTCAAGGAAACAATAAAAGAAAAGATTTTGAGATTAAAGAAAGAATCACCTCCTCCAAGAATTCGAATAGTGCAATGAGATTCGTCTTGAATAGACTTAACGGTTGCACCCTGCTTTCCAATCAAGATAGCAGCCTGTGTAGCAGCCACAAGTAGTCTAGAAGAAACTGGTTTCCCAGCACCAGAAGGAGTATTGGTGGAGTCATGATCCACGTCAATAATCCGCTTATGGACCTTCAAAAGGCCATCCATAGCAGGTGGAATAGAGAGGCTAGGCTCTTCCTTCGCAGATATCATCACCTGCAATTGAAAAGAATGAACAATTCATGGCCAGCACAAAAGAGAGTTACATATGAACATATAACTTCCAACCACTCAGACCATGTCAAACATAAGCTAGTGCCTAGAATGTTTCGGCTTGGATTAGAATTGTAGTAAATTAAACCGAATGCAGAATCGGTGCATTTACTCTGTCAAAAGATATGCACATAAGTAGACTGGACGTGTGAAAGACAAAATACCAAGACAGACAAGTGAATTAGCAAAAGCTTGCAGATACAAACAAGCATGAGAATAGATTGAAAGTGGAACAGCTGTTACGAGATAATTTATCATCCCTTGGCAAAGGATGCAGTGACATTGTCTGTACCTTATTCATGATACATGCCCATTAAAAGTCCGCTATTACGTAGGGCATAATGTAAGGATCCACTTATGAATACAGCAATACTTTTGTTTTTTTACTACCACAGCCTAAATCCTTATAGGAATATCAACTTCTTTTTAATAGACATTTGATGGCCCAAGCTCAGCTATTATCCAACTAAAACTTTAATGTAGCAAGTGAATTCATGATCTAAGTGTGGGAATACCATTAATTACAAAAAGTTTTACCTATCTATCAATCAAGGTCAATCTTTATTCGCTTGATTCTTATGTCTGTATGAACAAGTGTCCACTTTTATACAACTGAAGAGTGCCTATAAATATGCAAACTCATTAGCATACCTCTTTAAGCCTTTTAAGTAGTATTTGTAAGACTTCTCTATAAAGATTAAATGTCATATCTTATTAAAAACCATTTTGCAGTACCTCCCTTAGAAAACAGAGGAATTGTTGGATCTCAGTGGAGATAGTCGGTTAGAATATAAAGCTGCTAGCAGATTTCAGGCAAGTTTCATTAATTAAAACATTAGAATCTTAGTTGATAATTCTTTTTTTCCCATAGTTTGTTGTAAATTATCCAGTATGTAGACACTAGTTTATAGTATCGGATGTTTTATTGTGGAAATTATGTACTTCAAATTGTTTTCTATATAATACTTCCTCCTTTATGGAGCTTAAAACCTTCTGGTAAGATACCAACCGACCAAGTTTTGAAGTTACCAGACATAATGCAATCTTCTGGGTACTGATGTCCGGATAAGGTAATTCTGACAGATTGTCAGAAGGACTTCCAGCACTTGTAATGCTCAATGCTGATGGCTGCAGCCTGGATCTTTGGTTCTTCTAGTATAAGCCACTTTGATAGAAATGTTGCCTTATACGGGCAAGAACCTGCATACACTCATGTTGGTTATGATGATAAAGAAACTCCCTCAGATTTTTGTGGTTATTTGATGGATTGATTTTTACCCACATTCAGCAAGTTAGTTATACTTCTTACAAGATTCATTAGTTTTATCATTTATCAACTTATTTCTAACAGTTCCCTTTCAATTTTTATTACAATTCTTTTTAACCTTTAATGAAGATATCATGTAAGATTGATCACTCTTATACCATTTTTTATTTAATAGACATTTAAGTAGGCCCCAATAACATCTAAAATCTAAAGAATTACGGAAGGTTTAGGTCATGGAATGAGCTAAATATAGCATACTTAGAGCAGCTTGCTAGAACAATGAAACTCCATGTACTCGGGCCAGCTTGCCTACACATCGACTAATCCATCGAGTACATGTTATCTCCCACCAACACAAATATGGAATAACACTATCCAACAATGCTTAGATAGATAAGAAATGACCTAGCGCTTTTGATCTGCAAGGATTTGAACCCTGGTATGCCATGGTCTACCCCAACTTCATTAACTAGTAGACCACACCTTTGGGTGTTGATCCATCTCCATCAGTTGAAATATTCAAAGCAATAGAGTCACATTATCACAAGTGCATAACATGATATTTATACAATAGCACTCAACATAGTTATGTAATCCTAAAATTTTCAAAATAACAAGATATATCATCAACTCACAGCTCTTTCTGTAGACCCAGGAAGACCATCAAGGACCTTAATGCGAGCTTTTGTTTCTTCGCAAGTTTTTTTTATATACTCTCCTTTGCGGCCAATGATGCCACCAACCTTCTTGGAAGGAACTAACATTCTAAAGACATTTTCTCCAGGCCAACCAGGCCATCTTTTTTCCTCACCACCTCCTGAACCGTTTTCAGCAACTTTTACCTCTTCTGATTCCAATTTTATTGGATTCCCCTGAAGGGACGCATCTTGTACCTCTTCTGCCTCTAATTTTATCGGATCTCCCCCAAGGGACGCAATTTGTACCTCTTCTGGTTCCAATTTTATCTCATGTCCCTGAAGGGACTCAACTTGTACCTCTTCTGAAGGCAAGCTGCTCTCATGCACATTGTCCGTTTCTTGAATATTATCCATGTTATGTGCATCCTCTGCCCCATGCACATTGTCTGTGTCGTACACATTACCAAGGTCATATTCCTGACAACTTTCATCAGCCATTTGCTACAAGAGAAAACCAAAATCAGCTATTAGAACATAGCCAAAAGAGGGAAATAGATATGTCCAAAAGCTAACAAGAGATAATAGTTTATCTTTTTGATTCCAAAAGATCATAATTGCAGAATTGTAGAAAATAGAAGCCTTTAAAAAATGGAGAAGTTGGGGCCAACAAGAGAGCAAGTAATAGTTAGTTTGCTGAGGAAGCTCAGAGAATAACCAATAACTTCAATTTCATGCTGATACCATACTCTGAAAAAGTATATTAAGGGGAACCTGCTAATCATTGTCCGTTGCATGCATGATTGTTACGCATGCTCAGGAAACTCTCTAACATGCCAGGCTGCTCTAGGAATCCTTTTTTAAGAATAAATACCTTGGAATAGGGGGGTTTCCCACAATCCCTTCCCCCCTCCCCAAAGTATTGGCCAAGGAACCAATGACCAGCCTCAAAACTCTAAATGGATAATTATACTCCTCCAATTCCAAATAGAATGATAGGATCAAAATACTGAGGGTGAAGCATCTAATTGTAGGTGTGAGCTCGGACTTGATTTCTTATTTTTTCTAAACGAACTCTCAAATGTAAAAACTACATAAAAGGTACTATAAATCACAGTTTAACATAATACTCAAAATATATAAGAGATGTTTCGAAATAATATAGTAGTAGGGAAAAATTGTTTAACTCCCAAAAAGTTGAGATGGAGAGAGAAAAAACTAGATAAAATGGTTAATCAAATTATATAAGAGATAAACATAGTAGAAAAAAATTGTTTTAACCCCCTAAAAATTGAGATGGAGAGAGAGGAAAAATGTTTTTTTGCTGTTAAAATCCAGCTTCAGAGAAAAGCCTCTGGCCCATTATCCACAGAGTTCCAAATATGTGCCATTGGCCCTCAAGGATTTCTCGACTATCAAACAAAATAGGGATGGAGGGAGTATATTGTTTCTGTTTTCAAATTACATTGTAATACCAAGTTAAAAAAGAAAGCAGTAAGTAAAAGGTAACAAACCCTAATAGCTTAGAGTTCCCACATCTATAACCCTCCATAATTCAGTACATCCTTCACTTCAATTATGTTAAAATCATAGTGACGAACCGGCAGCTTCGAAGCATCACTTGCGGAAAAGCTAAAACAAAACCCAAGTTCTCAAACACGCACGTATAAACACATACCCAGGCTTATACACTCGATAAAAAATGGAAAAACTAATGAAGCGAAAAATCAACGAAAAAGTAAGATATCAACAACGAATTAAAATCGAATTATCAAATTGAGCAGAAATTAAGCAAAAATGTGAGATAAAAGTTGTTAGAATTTTACTTACATTGAATGAAGAGGTTCCAAAATCAAAGGAAGAGCGGGAGCTGGGAAAGGTTATGAAAGCAAGCGGGCGGGACGTAGACTGTCACTAGGTTTTATTGAGGAGTAGTCTCGCCATCTTTTGGATAATTTCCCCCCTAGTCCCTATACTTGCTGTATTCATATTTTGGGCCACCAATGCACGGGAAAATTCTACTATTACAATCTTTTGGTTTGCGAAAGCCTTCATTTTTGTTATACAAATATTGTTGCATATCTTATGTCATTAAAACATGTAAATTAAATATTTAGACTGGTATTGTCATACATCTTTATAAAAATATAGATATATAACAATCATTTATTATAAAAGTCATATTTTTTTCGGAACTGATTTTTATGTTATGTTATAGTAATATATTTAATATATTTCCTTTATAACAACATTTTACTATGTTTGACACTAGTATGCTTGTAATATAACAATGGCTCTCTTCATTTTTCTTTACAATTATGAACAAATTGAAGAACGAGGGATAAATTATTTAAATTTATTTTCGATTTAGCCGTCAATTCCTCCAACTGTTTAATTATAATTTTTTCATATTTAAAATTATGTATAAGTATAACTAAGAGATGAATCTATTATTGGAAAAAAAAAAAAGATGAATCTTACTAAAATTAAAAAACTTTGTCCAAATTTGTTTATGTTCTATCTGAAATTGCTGAATTTGCCATTCTTCTTGTATTTGATATTGCAATTAGTTGAGCTTTAGCTTGAAATGGATAAACTCCATGTGAATTAAATGTAACTAACCTACTTCATTCAGGGCATGTGGTTACAAATCTTTGTTCAATTCAATCAAGTTGGAAATTGGAATTTAGATGTGTATTAATAATTTCACACTAAACTTGCTGGCGTGTAAGAGACGCGTTTTGCTAGCTACAACACTAAAAAAAATGGCCAGAAATTAAATGGAGGGTTGCTGAAAATATAATACTAGTGTGCATAAGCTGTAACAAGACTGTCATCTAATAAAGTGTACTGAACAGCATAAATTCAGATATTAAAAGGATTATTATAAGATCAAAATTAAAAATAGAAAATACAACTGAAAGTTAAAATACGATTCTTTATATCGGGCGCAAATACAAACCACCCACAAAGATCCAGTAATTTACAATCCTACCCCTATCTATTACTTCCTCCCCTTTCTAGCAGATGCCCTCTTCGCCGGCGACTTTGCCGTCTTAGCTTTAACACTCTTAGCAGCAGGTGCCGCCTTCTTCACCGGAGCCTTTTTCGCCACCGGCTTCGGCGCAGCTTTCCTTGACGGAGTACTCCTTGTAGCAGTCCTGGCTACCTTAGCTGGCTTCTCTTTCGCCTTTGGCTTAGCCGATGCCTTAGTTTTAACAGGAGTTTTAGGCTTTTCAACAGCTTTCGGCTTCGCTACAGCTGCCGCCTTAGGCTTCACAGCAGGCTTAGCTTTAGCAACAAGCTTCGCCTTCGCCTTCGCCTTTGGCTTTGACTTTGGTTTAGTAGCAGTTTTTGCCTTTGGGGCAACAGTCTTAGGTTTTGGCTTCGGTTTTGCCTTTGTTGCTTTCGGCTTAGCTGCCGGCTTCTTCTTCGCCGGCGCAGTAGCGGCAGCCTTTGGAGATGCAGATCGTGCAGCTGGAAGTTTGTACGAACTCTTAACCTTAACAAGCTTACCAGAAGCCACAAGCTTTTTCAATTGAACAAGCAACAGTTTCCTGAAATTTGATGGAAGATTCTTCTGCTTATCTTCGATGAACTTTGTGACCGCGTGCTGGCTCGATCCAGTTTTATCCTTCAGTGTTACAATCGCATCCTTAATCATCTGCAAAATTAGGCAAATTAACAAATTAATTCGACTATAACAACTATAGCTTGATCATTCCATACAGATCCTCAATTTTCACTAATCATCTACATAACAACTACTGCAGCTCAATCGATACGAATCTTCAATTTTCATTTCGTTTCATTTGCACGGATACAGTCCTAATTACCAAAATTCAACATTTCCTTAACAATTTGAACAATTTAGTTAACGAATTATACCTCAAAGTACGAAGGATGAGTAGGAGGATTTCTCTTCCTCGGAGCAGCTGGTTTTTTAGCCTCAATCTCCTTCTCTTTCTTTGGTTCATCGGGCTCCGCAGCCGGAGTGTTCTCTTCCTTGGCCGGCTCAGCTTCCACCACCACCGGTTCAGGTACAACCTCGGTAACCACAAGTGGTTCTTCAGTTGCCATCTCTTAGCACAAAATCGGATTCGGGTTAGGGTTTATAAGAGAATTGGAAATGGGGAAATACAGATCTATATCTGTAGAAATTAATGGGATTTCTTTTTCTTTTTTGCAGGTATGAATTTGTTGATGAAATTGAGAAGACCATATATAGTAAGGGTGAAGTAGCTCATATCCAGAATTCTGAGAGCTGATTGGTCGATAGCCTTTTGACGCGGATTCATAGTTTAGGCGAATTTTAAATATAAACCGTTGGATTTAATTTCATCAACGGATCGTAACGGTAGGTGACTAAGACAGGGATTCGGATTGAAACAAGAAAGCTTGTTTTGGTTGCTTGAGTTGTGTTTTTTTGCTCAATTGATCTAGGCAAAAATTGAGCTATACTTGATGGATTTAGAGCAGATTTTTTTTACTAGATAGAAAATTTTGTAAGCTTTCTGAAGAGTATTTATTTATATTTTTTGGATTAGAAATCTGAGAGATTTTTAATTTTGAATAGCAAGTGGTCTGATCAATGAGTTTTTTGGAGTCTTTTGGGGTTTTGGTTAATTTTAGGTCAATGCTTTGGGTAAAAAACTGGTTTTTTCTTCTGATGTGATAGTAAACAAAACAAGGAGTCCATGAAATCAAGAATCACAAAATTCTGATCATATTTGGTCATGGAACTATTGGTTCAAATGTCATTGAAGATGAACACATACACAACTATTTGTACTTCTTGATGTATAAAGCAAGTGTATATATTTTCTTCACAAACCTCATTAATTTCTACTAATTTTTTTTTCATATCACAATTGCACTCTTGGATGACTGAATCGTTACTTGTTTCTAGTTCCAACATAAAAATTATTATTATATTACTATCTTATATAATATGCTCTAAGTAGATTGTCGCAGGTTCATTTGCTACAAGTTTCATGCTCGATTCTTATCTCATGTTTTCAACTTTGGCTTAATGTGCTATGATATTAGATGCGTTCAATGTTATATTCTAACATAGAATCATGTTAACACGAAGCATCTATAACATTATCATCGTCCTTACACTACAGTAATTAAAATTGGTGTTCTTAGTAATACTAGTTTGGGGTGCCAATAGTAATATAGTTGCTTAATGGTTCTTCATTTCACATATTATGATGTAGATATTTTTTTTGTTACCTTTAGTCGGAAAACTAACTTAATGGACAAATAAGGGATCGGTAAGAATGTATCTTGAACTCCAAAGAACAGGAGCAAATATGCTATTTACCATTGGATATCCACTTGTGCCATTGAATATGGCCATAAGATGAAACCAACTTCATAGTGTATAAATTTGTATACTGATTGCCCTATATATATCTAGTAAAATTAGCACCAATAACTTGTTTTAGCTTGGCCTTCGCCTCACTTTAATTTCATATTCTAGATTATTGTAGCTTGAATCAATAAGCCAAAGAATTATCAATCAAACATTGAAACGTTTCTTTATTAAATATGTTTACTCAATCAACATAGCAAGATAGCAAATCAGATTGGAAGGTTGATGCACCTATAAACATGCTTCAAAAAGGAAGTTTTTATACTATACACAAAGCTTAGACGTAGCGGTGACGGGTTCATCTTAACCCAATATTTTCAACGCGGAGCGTAGATTTATGCGTAAAATTATCTAAAATAAGAACAAATAGCAAATATGAACTCATAACTTTAACAATATAATGAGTTCGAACCCGTAGAATTCAAATCCTTGATCCGCCTGTGCTTAGATATGATATAGCATCCCATCGCAAAATCAACTGTGTGTTACAAAATGCAATGAAATCTGTTGTTTTCACTTAAGACACTAAAAAACTAGTCAAGGTAACCCCAAGATCAAGAACATGTGTAATCTCTTTCTAGTAAATGGTGATGCTTAATCCTACAATAGGTGTTGTTCCCTTGCTGTTCCGGGGCAAAATATTAGGCGGCTTAAACATGCTGTTGGAGTTTGACGCGAGCTAAAGATTCACAAAGACACCATTGTAACACTTGGATATATCTAGTTGCAAGCTATGCCAATGATATGAGGATTTATCAGCGACGCAGCTGATAAGACAGCTTGATGACTGTCTACATTTGAGAAACCGGCTTTACTGATATCATTTCCTGTTTTCCTGGTAAGATGACAACCATCCGCGAGTGTCTGCTGCAAAGGATCAAGCAATCCCTGAACAAATCTGAGAACTGTTCCATCTGTCCAATTGTAGTCGAAAAGAATACACTTTTAATTGATGCAGAAAACACATAGGAGAGGCAGAGAAAAAGTTTAAAATGAAGACTCTGGCTATTATGTTTACCTGCTGCAGCTACATGTTCAACAAAGAGGTAAAGGCCACCGGGCTTGAGCACTCTTCTGATCTCTAGGAGAATAGATAGAGCATTATATCAGGACTTCTTAATTTCTTATCTTTATATTAAAGAAAAGAAAGTAAACGTAGAACTCTGGAGGGAAAGAGCATTTCGACATACAGACGGATATCACCTCTTTTAAATGAAAATGACATGATCACTATAACATTTGAAATAACAGATTGGCTGCTTCAGGACCCAAGGGCGGTGGTTATCAAAGAGAAGGTTGACGTTCCATAAACTAACATGGTTAGGACTATACATTAGACCTTTGACAGTAACAAGAGAGATTTTTCATATACCAGAGCAACCAGAATACGACATTTTCACAAGTTGCAGTGTTACTATAAGTTTAGATGAACAAGAAGATTTTAGTAGAAAAACAGATCCAGAAGCTCATCACAAACACAAACACACATAATTCTCCTTCATTAACTTTGTGCATTTTCAGGGTTAACATATTAAGATAAGGTCATGAAGCCCTATGCTGAAACCATCTTTCGCTCTCAGAAGAAAATAAATCAAATGTTCCAAAGGAGTGGCTTCTACGGCAAAGTGAGGAAGTTTAGTGAATGGCTCCAGAGATGACTCTATGTTGCTTATCTTCTTGTATTGGAAAATTCAAACATTTGATAAGCACATTAACTTTGATCAGATAAGGTTATCACTCACCAAGGATAGAATAAAGCTAACAACAACAACAACAACATACCCAGCGTATTCCGACAAGTATGGGGTCTGGGGAGGGTAGTATGCACGCAGACGTTACTCCTACCTTGCGACGGTAGAGAGGTTGTTTCCGGAATACCCTCGGCTCAAGGATAGAATAAAGCTATACATGATATAAGTACAAGAAAATACATGAGATAGATACAAGTGCTATTACAAAGGTTTGATGGTTATACGATATGAATTGAACAGGAACATTATAGCATATGAACTGAACAGTTCATCAGAGCATAAACAAAAAATAGATTATATACCCTGCAGCGTCAGATTAACATCTGCGACAGAACATAACACAAGGGTACCAATGACAGCATCAACTGAAGCATCACGTAATGGCAAGGACTCCGAGACCTGCATGATATTATCAACTTCAACCAACTTATAAACTTTCCAATTATGAGTTAGACATGTCTCCTGATAATGATGTACGAGCAACGGGGTGGTTGCTCATATAAAAAATGTTACCATACCAACTAACACAATTGCATAACTCACATCTTTCACTCACCTGAAATACAAGAATTACACTCTTGAGGGATTTTGCATTGCATATATCAGTCCAAAATACAAACAATTGAAAAGCCTTGAGGAAAAAGTATATAAGCAAAGAAATAAGAAGAGAGCAGAAAAATGATGAAAAGTGAAATATATGAAGAAAAGCTATGTTGCTCGGACTCTCCAAAAATGTCGTTGGGTGCGTGTCGGATCCTCCAAAAGTAGTGCATTTTTGGAGGATACGACACGGGTGCGGCAGCATTTTGGAGAGTCCGCGCAACATCGAAGAAAAGTCTGGTCTCGAAAGGAAAATTAAGAATACCTAAAAGTCAGCTTGACGACATTGTGTCTCTAAGGAAAAATAAAGAGGAAGGATAAAACATACGATGAAATGTTATAAGAAGAGGGGGAAAAGGAAGAATAACGAAGAGTACTTAAAAGCGATCATATTCATAACTGAAAAGAAAAACAAAAAGCAATGTCTAAAAGATATAACAAAAAGAATGGTTCAAGGGCATTGTTAATTATACCATATCATTCTAGTTTTACTCTGATGCTGCGATATAAAACACATTAAGCTGAGCAACTTGAACAATGCAAAAACACATTATATGGAGAGAAATAAAAGCAAGTTAAGCAACGCTTTATTCTAGAAGGTCTTTATGCCTACAAGTTAACTGTGGCTGATAAAACCATGCAAGTTTACCAATAAAGCAATACTGTTACATTCTTGCAGCAAATTCTCCAAAATGCTATATAAATTTTTGACACCAGAATGATCATGACTTATTGAGTCTGGTCAAAGATACAAACCGCGTGCAAGAATTTGAAATTTGAAGGGGGAAGGCCTGCAGCCTCTGCTGCTGCTTGTGCATATTTCTCCATCTTCCTATTTGGATCAATGCCATAAACGGAAGTGCCCGCCTCACTGGCATAATACTTCAAATTTGGACCTGTCCCAATACCAATTTCGAGGATTTGTTTGGCTTGGCCTCTCAGATTAGCAAAAAGCTCTGACTTGTAACCTTCAATCTTACAGAATATATTGATTTAGTTCAGAAAATCTTATGTACTTCCACCTTCTACAAATTCAAAATAATTTCTGCACCTCTAAAGTGGTAAATATGAGCTAACCTCTGATTCATAAGATTTCATACTTGTGTTCATCGCTGCTGCATAAAACTCCTCATACCAATCTGGCCTAGGAGGATGCAATCTATTCAACATTGCCTACATGTAAAATTAGTCATTTATAAATCACCGATAAAGCATGTTAAAGCTACAACCGCAACATTTGTTTGTGATTGAACAAATACAATATTAGCAAACCTGTCTCGCTGCAAAGTTCTGTTGTTCTTACTTAATCAGTTCCAATAACTCTAAGGAAAGAGCAAGTATTCTCCAGCTTAAATTACTATCTTGAAACTTCTCTTAAAAAATATTCATGCTACGACTAGCCCTTAAATTATGCTTCTCGGTACAGACAATCTTTCTTGACTGTTAAAACTTCCCCCTAATCCTTACTTCCGGAAACATCTGTAACTAACTAGAAAAAAACTTTAAAAGTTCACCACTTTAAAAGCTAGAGTCCAACATTTCAACTTAAACTACAAAAATTCTACAGACTACAACAACTACCCAGTAAAATCCCACAAAGTGGGGTCTGGGGAGGGTAATGTGTACGCAGACCTTACCCCTACCCCGATAGGGCAGAGAGGCTGTTTCCGATAGACCCTCGGCTCAGAAAGACGGAAAAAAAAAATAATTCATTAATAACTCCAGTAGAAACCGTAATAGTAACAGAAGCATAACAGCCAAAAGATAAATGACATGCAATAACAGTAACCAGTATCTAAGGCCCGGGGCTAAGATAAACAACAAGGATAGTGTGGACTTAACATAAACTGCAAGCCATCTAAGATCAACCCTAATCCAACCCCGCCTTACCCCGGGTATGAAGTAATGAAAGCTCTACTACCCCTAACCTACAACCCTAATGCTTGACCTCCAGACCTTCCTATCAAGGGCCATGTCTTTCTTTAAATGTGTGGGAAACTTGCCAAGCACCAATTTTATGTCATACAAGTCAATAAGTCAATGTCGCCTCAATTCCAAACTAGTTGAGGTCGGGCAACATCATGGTCAGAATATTTTAATGTTGAGGGTCAAAATACCAATTTCATGTGACGAAAATAATCTTGTTTAACATTTTATGTTTTTTTATGTTGAAGTGTGCTACCATCTCATTTAAAATTTTAAACTGTATAGAGAATACATTTTTATTTATTTAATCATATTTTCAACATATTGTGAGCCTTGTAATAATGGTAAAACCTATATGTCATGGATTCGAGCCGTGGAAGCAGCCACTAATGCTTGCATTGCGGTAGGTTGTCTATGTCACATCCCTACGTGAATGCCTTGTGCACTGGGCTTCCACTTTTTTTTCAACACATTGCCTCATTCTTTTTTTCAACAAATGGTGGCTAGAGACTTGAAGCTACACTTCTATGTGCTACGTTGAATTGTGTGACTATCTCATCAAAAAATTTAAGCTCTAAATTAACACCATTTTTATCTACTTAAATTTGTTGTCTTCATCAGTAAAAGAGTAAAAGTGAAGCATTATATAATATTTTACCATGGAATCAATATCATCAGAAGCAAGTGAAGGATGGATAGGCAAGAGAGCAGCTGCTCCAACTGCTGCCATAAAACTTCTTCTACTGCAGCAAAAGCATAATTTGTTATTACAATTCAAAGGGTCTTTTACCTTTTTCTGTATTTGAAAATGAAAAGGGACATCTTTTAAAGTTGTGCTTTTATCAGAAGCATATGAATTCACTGCTTTTAGTTTCTGGGTATAGTGAATCTTGGGATAAAAATATGTGGAAAAGGTTGTATGCATCAACATATTCTTTGAATTCCTATACTTTTTGGCTTCTGGGGTTTGAATTAGTTCAGTTAAAAGAGACTGGAATTGTCAGTAATGTTCATTAGCAGGGAGATAAGAAAGAAAGTAAAGAAACATATAGTACGGAGTAGTTCTTTTCTTTCTTTCATAAGGTTCATCAAAAAAAAAGGGATATTGTATATGAAATTTCCATTTGGATTTTTAGTTTTCGAATTGCTAAAATGACAATTCAAATCCAATCCAAATAAGTTTGGATTGGATTCGATTTTTTAAGTTCTGTTTTGGATTAATTGGTTTGGATATTTTGAATTTTCGGATTTAAGCTTATAAGTTGAGATGTTTCTTTCTTTTACAAAAATAAATATCCAAATAAAGTGCTCAAGTTAAATTAACTTAAAAGTTTCTAATTCTCGCCGCAATCATCCAAATGAAGTATTAAAGTAATTAAATTATTATATTTAAAAAATAAAAAAATACAATAGAGACATTAATACGACAAATAAGAAGTAGAAATACTAAAATCATGTCCAAATAGAAAGTATTCTCATAGTAATCTAGTAATTTATATTGAATATATGATAATATCTAATGGGTAGGGTATTGAACTTTTTACTATTGACATATAGATAATGGACCAAATATAAAGTATAGGAATTTCGGATATCCCAAAATTCGAAGTACCAAATCCAATATCCAATCCGAAATTCAAAAAATTTAAATATTAAATTCACAATCCAATCCGTAATCCGAAAATCCAAACCAAAAATCCAAGAAATTCGGATTTCGGTTTGAATTTCGGGTTTACCCAAACTATGCCACCCCTAAACCTCTCCACTACTTTTCGTCCAAATTTAGCCCTACCATTGTACTATCCGTTCAAATTAACCCCTTCCATTAGCAAACTTTTAAAAATTACTCCTCAATCTATTAAATTACTCAGAATCTCCCAAATCATTTTAATTAAATCACTTATTTTTCTTCTTGATCTACTATTTTCAAAAGTAGTTGTTATTTACCGGCTTTCTTAATTGGAAAAAAAAAAAAGAAATATCAAAATAATACAGCGGCTCGTAAACAAAGTATAGTAAATTGAATAATCTAAATTACGTAGCTTGTCTAATTTCCAAAAGTATTTACTAGGGGTGTACAGAGGAAACCAACAAACCGCACCAAACCGTTAATCCGAGTCAAACCGAGAAAAAAACCCCGACTATGTTTTAGTTTGATTTGGTTTGGCGTTAGGAAAAAACCCCGACCATAGTTGGTTTGGTTTGGTTTTAACTAAAAAAAGTCAAACCGAAACCAGACCAACCCGACCTTACATGTATACAAGTTTTAAAAATATTTTATACACAAAATTAATTATTGTAATGTAATTTATAAATATAATTTAAACTCTTTAATAGTTCTCTTTTTTAATGTATTATTTCAAGCTTGAACTTAAAACTTTTTGAATGGCCAAATGTTTTATAGCCCATAAAAGTTAGCAATATGGAAATTCAAAAATAGCCGATTTACCACTGGTCGTTGAAAAATAGCCAAGTTTCAAAAGTCATCGAAATTTAGCCACTTTAAATCTGAGCGAAAACACTGTTCAAAATCCAGAAAAATATGCCCGCAATAAATTTTACGGGAGTTCCAGGATAACTATGCTGGAACTCCCGCAAATTTTACGGGAGTTCAAGCATAATTATGCCGGAACTCCCGTAAATTTTACGGGAGTTCCAGCAAGTATAATTGTCCAGTATAATATACTGGAGTTTGGAGCACTGGTGCTCCAGTCTCCCGCAAATTTTACAGGAGTTAGCAAAGTATACCGGTCCAGCATAATATGCTGGAGTTCGTACACAAATGCACCAGAACTCCCGTATATTATACTGGACTGGTTCCTATTGAAGCAAAATAGTGACTATTTTTCATTGACTTGATAAACGCTGGCTATTTTTCATTGACCAGTGTGAAAATTGGCTATACCATGATATTTTAACCAAATAAGGCCCAAAGCAAAATCAAATTAATACTAATGCTAACAAAAAAATTTCAATTCAATACTAGAAATGACAATAGTATTGGATATTTATTTTTGTAGTTTTGCATTGATTTAGATAGTGAAAATGCATAACTCACTTTTAATATTATTTAGTCATGTAATTAATACTTAGTACTTACTTATTAGTCGTACTTATTTTATTATGACTTAGTACTTTTAGATTATGTTTATTTTTATTATGGCTTATTAATTAACAATATTTATCTTATGCAATTTGTTGAGTATTTTAGTTTAATCATCACTCATCTCCTATTATTTTTTATTATTTTATTGGGTAACATCTTATATAATTTTATCCTACTAGGACCTAAGAAATATGTGAGTAAGAATTATAAATTTTATGCTATGAATATTTTGTCGGGAAAATTCCGAAAAAGCCCAAAAATCAGAGGAAACCCGTGATTAAAAAAACCCGACTTTTGTTGGTTTGGTTTGGTTTATAAATTTAAAAATCCGAGACAATTGGTTTGGTTTGGTAATTGAAAAATCCGAACCAACCCGGCGTATGTACACCCCTAGTATTTACAATACACCAGCTTTAATGAATCCATTCCACAAAAGACACGGAGACTTTGCAAGTATTAGTAATAAAAGTGGAAGTTTCTTGGAGACTTTGCATTGTCAAATTCAACTTTGCTTTAATCAAATGCCTATGCATTGTACCCTCTTAAGTTAGTCGACCAGATTACTAACTAGATAATTACAAAATATATTCGAATGTGCATGTACATACATGTTGAGCAGCCACATATACATAACAAATAGACCCACAAAATCATGTTGTATGTATATGGTTAAAAAATTATAAATTTTGTAAATCAATTCCAAAACAACTATCATAAGAAGAGAAGTGGGTGCAATGGCAACTAAAAATATCCATGAATAATTTGTATAGTTTAGTACCTTTAGCATTCACCTTACTAGTAATTCCTGAAAATAGTGGATCAAGAAGAAGAACAAATGATTTAAATAAAAGGATTTGGAATTTTGGGTTAACTAACAGACTGACGGGTAATTTTTAAAAGTTTACTGATAGTAAAGGTAAATTTGGCCGAAGAGTATAACAATATGGACAAATTTGACTGAATAGTACGACGGAGGTTAAATATAAACAATATCCAAAAGTAAAGAGTAAATTTGGACCTTTTCCTTAAAAAATAATAAGGCTGCCTAAAGAAAGAAGCGATCTCTACCAGCATTCATTGGACGTGAACCCAAAACGTTTGTAGTACTTTTTAATATTATAACTTTTTTTTTCTCGTGATCTCTCAGCAATTTAAGAAAATAAAACTTAAAAACATAAATATGGTTTGCAGTCTAAGACTATAAGAGAATAATTTTTTGCTATTACTATGGCATTGTTTGAATTTTAGACCGGATAAATGATAATTGGATTACTGACTTTATGACGAATTTGGCTCAATCTGTCAAATGTTACTTGAACGAATCCAATTCTTTCACTCTTCTATTAAAACTATTACTCCTATCTAACGAACCTACCGTGTTGCACGTGTATCTTGTTTCACATAAATATAGCACATTAAAAATATATTTGAGTTACAAAAAAGTTTAAGCACCTGAAATTGATGAATAAAATAATTAAACACAGTAAAAAAATAACTAAAACAATTTATTCGTATAAATAATTTTAATAATAAAAATAAAAGCTCAAAAATATATTTACACGATTGAGAATAAAATAGAATAAATGCTTTTAAAGGATTATATTCCATACATGTAATACAAAAAATAATTATTTAAAATAGAGGTATATTATAATATATATTATATATGCTTGAAAACTTTACTCAATTATTTTGTTCCAACATTATATATGCCTAATTTTTTTTTTGTTAATAAATAAATATGCTAAAAACTATTAGAAAGATAAAAGTTAATAATTTAGAGGGTAAACTAGGTACTTCGCCACTGAAAGTTTGAGAAATCTGGTTGAATGATTTTCTAATTGCTATAGAAATAGTTAATTGACTTTTATGTTACAAACGAAAAAACTTGATTTTATTAGATAACTGATATTTGATTTTAAAAATAAAACACGGCATATTACCATTTGATTTCTGACGTAAAACTCGTTATAAATTTTAGATGCATTACTGAACAAGAATGTGTGGACAGTTTGTGGAATAAAGTATGAAACAATATTATTAAAATACGGCCTGTTTTATTAATATATTAGTATACGTTCCTATTTATTTAAAAAACGTACCATATAGTATTACACAGGACTATTTAACTTAGCCTAAAATTTACCTAGACTATCATTTTTTTTATCAGTTACCTACTTAAACTATCAAGTGTCTCCAAACATCCCCTCCCCCCCGAACTATATTTCTCTATATATTAAAACCCCATGTTGGACTTTTAAAGGTGCGTCTGTCTAACTATATTAACTTATAGTTTGTAAAAAGTTTTTTTTACGTAGTTTATTCATGATGTATTACTCTCGGATGATTGATTAATTTTAGGAGTTTTGGCCAAAATAATAATGTACTGTGTTAATTTTAGGTTAATTGTGATTGTGCTTATGCTAACTCCAATTGAATAAGTCCTTATTTATATTTACTTTGTAGTATATTAAAAATATAAATAAAGGAATATAGTGTTGCATTTCTTGAAAATCATCTTATAATACATAAAAAGATTATACAAAATAAAAATTCGCAAATAAGAAAATAATTGGCCAACAATTACATTTTCTAATTCCAGATTACATAAAGAAGGTTCAAGATATTCAACTTTATTCTCTACAAGGTGTTGAGTTTAATAACAATATTTAAATTGGTACTCTTTCAACAATATGTGTGAGACATGAAAGAAGACTAAAATAAGAAAGAGAATAAACCATGTCAGAGGAAACAAGAGAGGAAGGAATTTTTCCAGAGGAAACCCGTACGGAGAACTGAAGAAAAAAGGTTAAAAAATAAAGAAGGTGAAAAATAAAGAAGAAAAGTAAAAAAAGAAGAAGGAAGAATGGTGAAAAAATGAGGAAGAAGGGTGGATATAACTGAAATAAGGAGAATATTTATTAAAAAAATAATTATGAAAGAGGCTTAGGCTAATTAGCCAACAT